CTTGTGCAGTGGAGCTCAAGTTAAAGTAAGCTATGTTGTCACCACTGCTACTTGTGTATTAGATGACTCAACTACCTACTACGTTGGTTTTGATCTCCAAGATTTTAGGCGTCAGAAAGATTCAAAGTTCTTCGATATCGCTGAAATCATCATTCACGAAAAGTTCCAATCTAAGTAGGGCATGTTTTAACAATCGTACATATTATCTCATGAATGAAACCAAAATTTTTAATTGAAAAAATTATTTAGTGTTACATACGGCAACCAGTATGACATAGCCATGGTGCGACTAGAACGAGATGTACAATTTAACGAACCTATTCATGTTGTTGATCTGCCTCGTGAAAGTAAATTAGTTTTCTACGAAAGCACGACAATTTATTATCATCTTCATCGGTCGAGTTTAAATAAACCGTACCATGCACTGAAATCTTTTTGGGGTTTGATCTCATACGATGGTTCTTGTCAGAAAACGTTGATCGATGAGGGCATACTGCATAAATCGCAGTTCTGCGAGGACAGCGTCAAACACAAAAAAAATTCTGTAAATATTATATGAGACTAAATTTATTCAAAGTGAGTTCTGTTAGTAAATTGATTAAAAAATGGTTGCATTGGTTTGTAGTTTCCCTCAGGTGGTATTCTCGAACGCAATAATAACAATAGGACAGAGCTCGTTGGACTTTACACTTCATACTGGAATTATTTCATTAATATTGAATTTCATATCGACTGGATCCACAGTAAAATCAATACCAGAAGAACAGTGGATATCCATACTTCATCGGGTACTATGGGAATAGTCAATACAATCCCAGTTACTGTTACAGCAGATCTAAAGCCATTAAATACTGAAGAACCAAACTACAACACCTCTGTAACAGAAGACCCGAATCAAGGTAAATACCTATGATTGTAATTATATATTTCCAAGTATAATCAGCTTTTTTTCATTGTTCTGCATTTATTTTATTAAATTGATAAATAAACTACAGTAATTATTGTGATAGTTGTTAGTATACTAAGTCATGTAAAGTACCACGTAAGAACCTGAAAAAATTTTTGTGTCCAATGTTTAGCAGAGAATGACAAGGATTTGTTGATTAAAAGAAGACAATTTCAATACCACGCAGCTATCGTACGAGCTACGAACGATGAAAAAATATACTTGTGTAGCGGGGCACTCATCAAACAAAACTATGTTGTTACTACCGCTACTTGTTTATTAAATTACTCGCCAAGTTACCTCGTTGGTTTAGGTCTCCAAGATTTTAGGCGTCAGAAAGATTCAAAGTTCGTCGCCATAGCTAAAATTAGTATTCACGAAAAATACCAATCAAAGTAGGACATGTTTTTACAATCAAACATGTATGTTATTGATTACATTGTAACTTGAAATCGAAAAAATTTTTCAGTGCCACTTACAGCAACCAGTATGATATAGCCGTGGTGCGACTGAAACAAGCCGTGGAGCTTAACGAATACATTCATCTTGTTGATTTGCCTCGTGAAAGTACATCAATGTTTTACGAAAGCATCACAACTTTTTATCACGAGTACAAGTCAAATTTCAGCAAGCAATACCATGAGTTGAAAAATGTTTTTCATTACATTTCATACGACATCTCTTGTCTAAAAACGTTGAAGTACAAAGGTATAACGTATAAGTCAAAACTTTGTGTTGACAGTATCTTGTACGAAAAAAAATCGGTATGTGTAAGAAGTTTATACTTTACGAGGCTTTTGTTGGAAAATTTATTTACTAATACTCAAATTGTTTTACAGTTTCCCTCGGGTGTAGTAGTTCGAAATTATGAGAATAATACAGAACTGGTTGGACTTTATACTTTGCACCATCATAATTTCATCCAGATTGAATTTCATATTGATTGGATCAATAGTCAAACTTCGCTAGACGATGTTAATGAAGGCAAGTACTTGACAGACTAATCATACATTTTTTAAACAAAATCATAAGAATTTTAATCAAATTTCGAGGATCTTTCTGCATCATATTAAACCCGTGGACAACTTTAAATCAGTATCATTATTTTTACTATAATTATTCATAGTATCCAAAACCAAACTATCATAAATTTTCATTCAATGTATTGTTTGTTAAAAAAATTCACTAAAATTGAATTTACAAAGAAAATTTCGTTAAATACGCAGCCAAGGCAGACAAAGGTGTGGCAATTCAGAAAAAACAAATTCAATTCTACGCGGCCATTGGAATAGTTGAGAACAATGACATGAAGTGCTTATGTAGTGGTACACTTGTCAAAAAAAACTATGTCGTTACAAGTGCCAGTTGTGTAAATAAGAAAGACATGGCATATTACGTCAGTCTTGATGTAAGATACTTTCATCTAGAAGAACATGCAAAGATTGTTGCAATCAATAAAATTATCATTCACGAAAAATATAAACCGAGGTAGACCAATATTCGTAATAAAAGTTATCATCCACAATTAATTAAACTAAAAATTCAAGTTACGAATACTGTTTTAGTGGTACATTTTATGACGAGCATGACATAGCTATCGTAAAGTTCCAACAATCGGAGAAAAGTGACAAGCTTGTGAAGCTGCCCGACCATTACAAAACTGTTGACAAAAATAGGAAATGCACCTTGGCCCACTTTTCCCTTAAAGGGAAAAAAGGTTACAGATTGATGTTCATCCCGGCTTCCTTGATGGATAACCAGTCTTGTCATAAAAAATTATATAACTACGACACAAATGCTACACTCTTCAACACCCAGTTGTGTACATCTACAGGCATAATACACACCACGTATCCTTTAGTAAGTATCAAAAGTGTGCATACGTTTTGAAGTAGCTCAATTGACAACAAGTTAATAATTTTTCATGATTTACAGATTACCTACGGTGGAGTTCTGGTTCAAAAAAATGGTGATGATATTGTGCTTGTCGGACTCGGTACTGTACACAAAAACATTTTCACTAATGTTTCATTGTATACCGAATGGATCCGCTACAATGTGGAGGATAGTAAGTAATTGCTACAATAGGCAAATATGCAACGTCAATCGAAGGCTCATCATTATCTTACAGTTGCAACACAAGACAAAATTAGATTATACATTTTAAGTAAGCATCTTTTTTTTCAATCAATTTTATAAATAAAAGCATCTTTATGATAAAAACAAACTTTGGTGTAAAACTGATGTAATCAAAATAATTGAAATAAAATATAAGTTTTTAAAGTATCCAATAATATTGAAAAATATTATTTAGCGTAAAGAACACTTTGTTTAAGTAATTTTTTTTTTTTGTCAGAAAAAACTTATTGAGTTTTCTGGAAAGGTAACTCTTATTCTCAAGGTTGATTTAAACGTCTTCTGGATATTTCAGCAAGCAAAAAAAAATTCCTCTAAACCCGAGGTTACTTTCCCTCAGTTTACTCAATGAAGCATGATTTTTTAAAAACTCTGTACTCATTTTCACAATTAAGTTATTAAAAATCTCACAAATACGTTCGAAGCAAATAAGAAATCTTATAAGCCTCTCTTGCTGTTACCCAGAAAAAGGATCGCTGCCTCAAAAAGCCCCAAACGCCATACTAGAAGTTATACACATCCCCCTTGATCTCAAGGGTAGCGATGATCGGTATACCCAAGTTCCATCGGAGGGGTAAGAGAGGGATACACACTTGGCCGCTTCTTAGGCCATCTCTCTCTCTCTCTCTCGCATCTCTATTTCATTAACATACTCGAGGGAAGTACGGGGTATCGATGGCTTCTTCTTCCTCTCTTCGATGAAACTCCGTTTGACTTTGTCGTGTATGTAATACAGGAAGGTCCTCTTGATTTTGCATTTCTCTGCTCCTTTTTCACTCGCAAACCCGAATCTGGCACAATGCTAATCGACGGACCGGCTTACGTTCGGATGAGCGAGCAAAGCTTCTTACAATACGACATCGGCGAAGTTGTAACACGCGTGCACGCGATACCCTACAATAGTAAGGACTCAGCTGTAGCAATAAATGGTGGCTGGAAATGCGTGTAGTCAAGACACGGGTTCTGGTGGTATCGGTGGTTGGCAATTTTCAAGAGTCTGACGTAATCGTTTGATACGCGAATACGCCATCGATTTATCCATACAAGTATAACCTGGCAAGAAGAGGTTCATATATTTTCGTGACGGCGTTTGGTATACAATGTATCCCAGACGCATACCTTTAATCTCTGGGCATGGGGTTGAAGTCATAATTATAATCTATGTGAATAGAAAAAGAAAAAAAAATAGCTAAGGCTTCAGAACAATCATTTTTATACGAAAATTACATAAGCTGTTAATATTCAAGTACTTTTCGTTGAGTTTTGAAATGCGACTCAAACTTATCTTAACAAAAATTTTCATTGGATTTAATGATTTTTTTATCCACCCAAAAAAGTCAGCTGAAATAATATACAAGGCTAACAGAAGTTGTACGTAAGATACAATTTTATCTATCATTAATAGATACTGATAATTTTCTGGTTGCATCTGGATTTTTGGACACTATATCAATGAAATTTCACGAAAACACAATCAATCTTGATCACTCGACGACCACCATAACTATAAAAAAAAGGTCATGTTTATACTTACAAGGATAATATAGATGGAGAATACAATTTCAAAATCTCTCACGAGAAATAATATTTATTCATGTAAATTACCATCACTGGTAAGATATGATTGTAATGGTAATGTAGCTTTTCATGAAACAATAGTGTATGCTGTGCTTGATTTTTCTTTTGAGTGGCACTTGTCAATTATATTTAATTGAGTCCACGCAGTAAATTTTACTTCATTATTTGATAAGCCGTGGGGTACAGATGGACTCTTTTATCTTTACTGTAAACTACAAAGAGCTTTTATTTCCTAAAGCAAAACTTTATCACCTAAATGATTTTTGTCGATAAGAAAAATTTTTAGAGACAAACAAAGAAATTCGAGAAACGCACAGTCAGTCTTGTTCGCTCGACCAAGATGGTTTCTTTGAAAATTCTCTCCGCACTTTTGATAATTGTTGTTCAAGGTAAGTGATTATTGTTTTTCACAAGACTACTTTTTTTGATTATTTAAACACAACATAAAAAGGCAACTAAAATTTCATGTGGAAATAAGTAGCCAGAGCTGAAGGAAGTTTTTTAGCTCGAAGGGCATGGGCTGGATTCCACGCAGCTATTGTAAAAGCTAGCAATTATAACAATGCAAAGATGTACTCGTGTAGTGGAGCACTTATTAAAAATAACTACGTTGTTACAACTGCCAGTTGTGTGTTAAATAATTCGACAACTTACTATGCTGGTTTTAATCTTCCAAACTTATGTCCTCAAAAACATTTCGAATTCATCGCCATCGCTAAAATCATCATTCACGAAAAATTTCAATCAGAGTAAGATACGCTTTGACAATGAAATACATGACATGCTGTAAATCAAACTGTAATTTTTAATTAAAATAATTTTTTAGCGATACATCTAGTAACTCGTTTAACATTGCCGTGGGACAACTGGAGCGAGATGTACAATTTAACGAATACATTAACGCTGTTGATCTGCCTCGTGAAAGCACGTTACTTTTGTACGAGAGTATGATGACATTTTATCATAAAAATGGACGAAATTCAATTGAACCGTGCTATCAGTTGCACTTTTTACAGGGTTTAATTTCATACGACGATTCTTGTCGGAAAACATTGAATTATAAAGATAAACTGCATGAATCAAAATTATGCAACAAAAGCGTCGAATACAAAATGAAATTGGTATACTCATCAATAATTAATATTGATTTTTTACAAACTCTGCTGTCAAATTTATTCATAAACGCTTATGTTTTTTTACAGTCTTCTTCTGATAGTATTGTCGTGCGAAATAACAACAATAAGGTTGAGCTGGTTGGACTTTACACTTTGCACCATAATCATTTCGTCCAGATTGAATTTCATATTGATTGGATCAACCTTAAAACTGATTCCAATCTTGGAAGAAACTTAAGAGAATTTGCTTTTGAGGGATCTAGATCTCATACGAATTGTCAGTACAAGTGAAATGAATTTTTTAGAATTCTATCTTATTTTTTTTTTTTTTTTTGTTTATGATACTATCACTCAACTTGTTCTCTACTCATGGGATGGAAAAAGATTAATTGTAAGAATAAAGCTTAATAAATAAACGAATGAAAAATACTCCTTATTATTTTTCCTGACCTAAGGTTTCGATCTTTTTATACCCTGCACTGATAAAAATCTAGTAAAATTTACGTATAGCTGAGAGAAATAAACACCGAAAAAAAGAGGCTGTTATTAACACGTAATATATACATACACACGCCGTTAGCTTTGATCTGTAATCATCGGTATCGGCAGCAATAATCGGTTAAAATGTATTATCAAAACTGTAAGAAGACACGCTAAATTCACTTTTATTAAATACCTTCATTGAGACTGCATCCATCAGGTATTGATGGTGGCTCGAAACGTGTACTCAAGAAAAATGGGTTCGGGTACATAGTACTCGTATAAATTTACGATGAATCTCCCGCCACGATTTCACCTTGGAACATCTAAACCGCGAGGCTGTGAGAGAAAAAACCCTAACATCAGCCCCACAACTTCCCTCTTTTGGAACAAGTAATGAAAAAAAAAAAAAAAAAAAAAAATGTACTATCCCTGAACAAATCCACCTTACCCGCGTACTACACCGGGGACCTCCCGAAATCGTAAATAAGGTAAAAGAGCGCAAGTTCGCTCGATCAGACGCGCACAAGAAGCGCCAACAACAACAACAACGAGATCACCCGGCCGGCACGCATCAAAGGAACCAACCGGCGCACTTCCTACTCGCATCACCGTCCTCTTCTTCCCAAGCCAGCTTCCTCCCGAGATATCCCCCTCACCCCGAAAAAAAAAAAAAAAAAAAAAAAAGCTACGTACCTATCGAGGAGCGCCGAGATATTATACACCCGACCGAAGAGTGGTGCCTACTGGAGCCAATTTCCCGGCGATTATTAAAAAATATTATTCTTGAATAATCGATTCACCGTTGGAGGCATTGTGGACGCTTGCGAGAGGAAAGGGCACACGGGGAAAGAAGAGCGAAGGGACGGAGATCCTTGTTTCCGGGGGACGGAGGAGGAGGAGAGCCCTGTGAATCCTCCGATCGCTCGCGTCGATACTTACACACACACGCGCGCTGTGCGCGCACTCGGCGAAGTAGTATCGAGTTACCAGGACACGTGAGAAAAGCCGAAACTGATCATGGGAAGCGAGCCGGTGTATCGGTTTCTCGCGTTTATTAATTATTAATCGCTCGGCGAACGGGTTCGCTTGGCTGCCGATCGAGTTTTATCCGCCAGCGAGTGTACATACGCAACGCGATATGCTAATTCTCGCGGGTCTTTGATACTATGGCGTTTCGGGAGTAACTGCGATATGCGTGGATCGATGCGCGTCTACGATTTCTCAGGCAGCTGCTGCATACGTGCGATCTTTGGATTTTAATCTAATTTTTATAGTCTGTACGCATTGGATTTATTGCAGGTCGAAGGTTGACTCTCGAACTTTCGGGAGAAATAATCATCAAAGACTTTTTGGTATTCGTAACTACAAAACGGTCATTTATTTCACTTTTATCTGCAATTTAACGTGAGTTACACAGCGAATCTATCATCTCGTGTCAATTTTTACGTGCCACCCAAACTATGAGCTATAAAATTTATCGCAATTACGTTTTCAATTAGATCAAAAGAGTATGCGGAATGAATTTCTACGTACAACATTTGCCCGTCAGGGAATATGACGTGATGAACAGCTTAGAGATATCGTGAAGCGTATACTTGATTTGGGATGTATTTTTTACACTGGCGTTTTTCTTAGGAACTGGAGACCCTACACCGTTCGGTCGTCACGTTGCGAAAAGTTTCCAATAAAAGGAAAAAAAGAAGAAAAAAACTAAGTGCCTCCCATCGTCCCCAAGTGCCAATGTAGGAAACTCCCCTCCATCGAAAGTCAATACAACCGCGGAATGATCCGCGTGCCAGAGACGCTGGTACAGTGTACACACACGCAAATGGCTCGTGAGGAGAGTCTCCGAGGTGCCATTATTAGCTTCCCCGCAGCGTCTCTAAATCCACCCGAAAAATAGAAAGCACACGAAAATGGGAAAAAGCAAGTGTGTATAACACACACACGGCGCGTGGCTTCGTTCCTCGGGCGCGCAAGTGTCAGAAACACGTGTATCACTTTGCAGGGCGTCGCCCACCCCGTATATCTTTCTCTCTGCTCGCTCGCGAGTTTCCGTCTTCGCTTTTTTTCACTTTTCCTCAAAAGAGACGTGTCACACGCGCGTGTGGGAGATATTTTTCACTTTTTTTTTTTTTTTTTTTCTGATGTAACATTACTGCTGCCCGATTATCATTGCAATTATTCCGTTATTCCGTTGTCACTCATATAAATCGTAGTGCGGCGACAATGGCGCTATAAAGCTATGCAGCTTACTTTTCGTCGCTCCTACTTTTTTTTTTTTTTTTTTTTTTCTTCCTTGCCACTAGCGCGTGGTTCGGACGCGAGACACCTAAATTGCGGTCGCGCCCCCGTGATATAATGGGGCAGGGCTTTTGCGGTCCCATCAGTTTTTCCGTTGGAAGCGCAAACCATATGGCACGCAATTTCAGCCGGCAAACATTTACAGATTGCTTTCGAGCGAAAAAACAGCCCCCGATCGAGGCGCCGCTAAGTACATGCGCACACAACGCATTATGATACCATTTATATACGGAACAAAACGGGAGATCGAGCCTCTACGCAACACGTATATACACCAGAGATCCCGCACAAAGGCACCTAATGGCTGGTGAGATTGCGCGCGAAAACCCATCGGCCGGGGCCTCTCGAGTGCGCCACTCGATGATAAAAAAAAACCCCCCCATATATACCCCACGGGGGATGCAGACGCTCGATCCAGCACCGATAAAAAGTAAAAATCCGACTTTAATTTGATTTGCGACTCGCGACCTGGCCAAACAGCGCCCCGATGGCCATCCGCAAACAGAGAGGCGCCATAATTATTCCTCTCGCCCCCTCTTTTCTCTTACCGCGGGGATTTTTTTCTTGTTTGTCGGGCACTCGTCTGGCGCCGATTACACGATTTCTCGCCCCACGAGAACCTTTGGGGTTTTTTTCTTCCAAGAGACAGATCATCTCCCTCGCTCGCGGGATCCGAGGACGAGCTGTGCGCGAAAGATGTCGTTGATTAAGACGCCGAAGAAGGTGGCATTGTGCAGGGAGACGTTGGACGAGGGGAAGGGGGGATCGTTTTCCTGATCGGGAGCCACGGAGGATGTGGGGTGGGAGTCAAATGCAATTTGCATTGGAAATTGATTGAAACCCCGGCGTTTATGCGAAAATATACCGGGAGATTCGGGGAGAGGGAAAAGTTGACTCGGGGGACGGAGATATTCGATTAAAAAATCGACCAAACGGGTAAGCAAAGCGAAGTGTAATTTGCGGCTTCCCCCGGCCCCAGTGGATCTGGATTTCCAAGTGCAACGCTAGAGTACAATTTACACATCTCTCTCTCATCGGTAAATCCACTTTTCCGAAATAATCTCACCGTATACGCCCGCACAATCGTATATATATATATGGGAAAGGCACTTTGTCCCGTAGGCTTCTTCTTCCCATTGTGGTATAAACGAGAGAGGGAGGGAGATCATAAGCACAATGGCATCGACAAGTGTCAGCTACACGAGAGCCGATGACAACGAGAGACCTGCATCCATACGCGTCTCCTCGCGAGCCCCATTGTTCCCTCGGTGCCCCATCATCGCGGGGGCTTGTGTCTCCAATACGCGCTTGTGTACCGAGCGATTAGAGCCTCCATTTACAAGGGTGTAGGTACACGTCGGAGGTGGTAGGGGTGCTTTTGGCCCTTTGGCTAGTTGAGCCAACTTACAGCTAGGCTGGATCACACCACCTCGCACGATCTGACGATGGGCTGTTTCTTTGGCCAGTGAAAAAACATTGGACGATGATCGGCCGATACTCGGTATTATGTATACCCTCGTTGGCGTGTGAGCCGTATTATTGTTATCTCGGGCCACTTTGGCCGCGCGCCGCGAGAGCGGATTTGAAAAAATCTCAGCCGTGAGAGGGCGAAACGCTTACGAGAGGCGTCCCCGTGTGGAAGGTTAAAGAGGTTGTGTACACACGGGCGTCCCAACTCTTTCGACATGAAGCGCGTCCGTATGAAAGCCGTTGGTTATGATATGTGCTTGGTCATATCCCTCGAGGGGGGTCGTGGACAACGGCCGGCGTTGTCTAAGCACCCGCGAAGAAGAGGAGGAAGAGAGCCACACGACGGGAGAACACACGCGCGTTATTCTTCCCATCCATCCGTCTCTACATGTATATTTTTATTTATTTATTTTTCTTTTTTTCTTTTTTCTTTTTTCTTTTTTTAAAAAGGAAGCTCGTTCATCGTGGATTTTGCTTTTCACCCTTTCATCGACACTCTCGGGCCATTAGCCGTAATACATCTCATTGAGAAATTCTCCTCCCTCCGTGGCCTTTTTCTTCCGCGTCCCTTGTGTACGGGCGAGCGTGTAATATCTCATTCGTCAATGCTTGTCAGCGATGGTGCTCGAGCAGCGAGTACAGAAGAGACGAGAGGCCATTCCGGAGGATATTATATGCCTACACCTCGATTTGTACGCGCACTTTGGTGTATAACATTGTGTATGTGTATATAAATATACACGTGGCGTTTTGCCTATCGATCATTTTCCTGGTAACAATGTAACGATGCCTGTTATTCCGGATTGAGCCAAGGTGTGAGAAATACCCGACTTATTTATGCTCGTGGAAACACGACGTGTATACGTGCTCACGTGGATATTGTTTGTTAATGTGTTGTGCCTATGCGCGTCGTTTCTCGGGTGTATACGCACGATTATAGCGATTGCGGGGATGCGTGAAAATGTGATGGGTGTCGGTTGATGGTCCTCGAGTTTACACATGCTGCGTATACCTTCAAGCCAAACGTGTTTTTA